ATTTGAGGAACTTTGGTTCCTTAGTTTAAAAAAAAAAAGCAAGAACCTTATGTAAAGTTTCCCTTAACTGAACATTTTCCTATAAAATATATGCTTGACCATCATGCGCCATTCTGACTTTTGAAAAGGTAATGTGAGGTAAGTTTCTCTCGGGTAATCTTAATAGCACAACTAGCATACGTTATTGATAAATAAATATACAATCCAAATGGAAAAATATTTTGAATTAGCATTGGCCGATCAAAACTTTTAATTCTCGTATATTGAAAAAACATTGAGTGAGTTTGTATCTCTGCAACCCAATTTTTCATTATTTACACGATATTCTTAGTATACTCCATTAAATAAATAAATAAAAGGGTTTAGTTTTTTGTGACTTAAAAAATACATAACTGCTCCTATTTTATAACTGATGTGGGAGGCAACAAGATGGTAGAGTCATTCCAGTATTGACTTTTTTATTAATGTTAAAAATATTGTCAATGATTTTTTCAATTAAAGGTTCTGCTATATCTCTTTGTTTTTCTAGAGAGCATAATACTTAGTTTCCATAAAAGTGCATGGTAACTAGTAGTACTATATTATTCTATTTGATATATTATTTTTCTTTAATGTTCTAGTCATATCACTTTCATCTTGAAGTAAGCTTATTGCAGCAAAGACCACATGTGAATTTTTAATATTATTTTGTATTTTCATATATCTGTTTGACACTAATTACTTAGCTGATTTGAGTAAACGAAAGTCTATTGTTGAGAATTATATCCAAATGACATTATGAATAGTTTAACTCAAGAGGTAAATATTGCCTTCACAATAATAATAATAATAATAGTAATAGTTTTTTAAAATGTGAAGGCAATGTTTACCATCAAATTGGTATGCAAAATAATAAAGCACGCCGCCGATTATGATACATTCATTGAAGAGAATGTGACTTGTGATAAGCATTGAGAATGCAGACCCATTCCTAAAGGTGAATGTTGTAATATGTAATAAAAGTAATGAATAAAGACATGCAATGCATGATTGAATGAATACCACACAACTCACCTCTGAGGGAGGTTGGAGTGAAATAAAGAGAATAAATATTATTGTGTGGTTACATGAATTTGTCATTGGTCGCGTACATGTGATACGCCAAAAAATATTTTGTTGTGCCCTATAGAAGGTTATTAAAGGCAAAATTAAAGCAAAAAATATCTTTGCTTATGATAATTTTGACAATGACAATTTATTATCATATAATTTTCTCCATGAAGGAGATATTTACTATATGAATGGTGTGACAAAAGATCTTGTAATACAAAAGTTGTTAAGAGCTCCGGAAAAATTAATTTATTACTACCCGGATGAATAAAAGTATTCACGACATTGATATTGTAAAGTCTCAAAAGAAACTTTTTGAGTTTCAAATGTATAAGTCAAAGTGGTTGGCATATTGAGACTATAAATGAAAGAAATATTAAATATTTTCATATTTCTATAATCATAACGGATAAATATGAAAGATTACCCGATTTTCTTTCTATTTGTATTACACAAATATAAGCATGATGATGGAATCGTATGTCACCAGTAAACTAGAGGTTTACTAAAATAAATATTAGTTGCCATGACCGGCTGACCATCTCAGTTCAATTATAATGCAAAAAATTAATTGAGAATTACATTGACATATATTGAAGAAATATAAGATTCTTCAAGAATTCTCTTGTGCTGCTTATTCTCATGATATATCAGTTAAAGTTGGGATTGAATCCTTTGATTTCTGGAACTAATAAAAGGTGATAAATATATGGGCTCAGTCACCTTCCATGTGGACCGTTTACTATTATATGATTTTAATAGATGCATCTATTCTTTGGTCACATGTGCATTTGTTATCAACTTGCAGTTTGGCTTTTGCAAGATTGATTGCTCAAATTATTAGAGCACAGTTCCAAAATATAAATTATGATGATTTATCTTGATAATACTGGTTTAAATCCAAGTTGGTTTAGCAGAAATTGTATGCCTCCAATTATATCTAAACCATTGGTTATGAGAACAAAATTGCCAAAATAAAATTTGGTATGTGATGTATTATTTAATATACAACAGCACTTGTACGCATCTAGCCAAGTTATGATAAGTTCTCCCTATCACAATCGGTTCAGGGTCAGGAACCAAATAATTTCCATCTAGAAATATGAATGTGCTATATGATTTAATTGTTCCACCACAGTGCACAAAGATGGATCCCCAAATAAGGCTAGGGATATGTGTTGGTGATCCCAACAATAGGGGGAGAAAATGGGCAGCTGAAAAAGTAATGCATGTAATGAATTATTATGAGTACATCGAGATCCTCGTACGAGAAAATGTGAACTTGAAGTTCAAGTGATAATTCATTTGCAAAATATTGCCGGGCGTATTTGCTGACCCAAAGCTAAATGTCATATTCAGCTGCTAATGCTCCAAATAAAATAAAGTCCATAATGAATAGAGTCTATGGCATGCATAAAGCATAATAGACTAATCGGTTCCAAAGATAAAACTCCTTGAAGAAGGAGAGGAGCAAATATTCAAGATGGTCATAATAAGGAGGCAAGTGCTCTAGAAGAGCACCACGACATAACACTTCATAAGACCTCATGGGAAAGGCTCAGGTACCTGAAAATAATAAGATAAAGAGATCTCAATAAGTTATGTCTTTATTGGGTAATAGTAGAACCGATATAAAATGATCGTCGACGATATTGTTAATATAATGTAGCGCTCAATATTATTAATATTGACGAGGATCTTGAGCTCAAATCTGTCATGAAATTTGGACAGATAAATGATTGGCCAAATGAAAAATACGCAATGAAAATTGATTTCACATGAAAAATATGAAGTTGGACGGATAGTCCCAACACCTGAAAGTATAAAGCCAGTTGAGGTATAAATGTATTCTTGTGTGAAAAAAAAAAGGTCAAGTCGATAGACATAAAGACGACTTGTGTCACAAGAAGATTTGTAAATATCCTGGCATTAATTATATAGAGACATGTTCTCCTGTGGTGGATGTCGCCATTTCAGGTTTTAATCTGGCAATACAAGAAAAACGTGATATGCGTATAATGGAAATCATTGAAGGATTTAAATTGTTCTGAAGCATATTAAGGTTTCCAAGAAATTTATTAAATAAAGCTTCAAAAATCCTTATACGGATTGAAACAATCAGGGCGCATGTGGTATAATCGCCTGAGTGAGTACCTGTTGAAAGAAGGGTACAAGAATGATTCAATTTGTCCTTGTGTCTTTATAAAAAGATCTGGATCTAAATTTGTTATAATCACCGTGTATGTTGATGATTTAAATATCATTGGAACTCCTAGGGAGCTTCCTAAAGCAGTAGACTATTTAAAGAAAGAATTTGAAATGAAAGATCTTGGAAAGACAAAATTTTGTCTTGGTCTACAAATTGAGTATATGAAAGATGGAATTTTTGTCCATCAATCAACATACACTAAAATGATTTTAAAGCGATTTTATATGGATAAAGCACATCCATTCCGACCTCATGAAAATAATGAAGAGCTTCTTGGTCCCGAAGTACCATATCTTAGTGCAATTGGTGCACTAATGTATCTTTCTAACATTACAAGGTCTGACATAACTTTTTCAGTTAATGTCTTAACAAGATATAGCTCTGCTCCTACAAGGAGACATTGGAATGGAATCAAACACATATTGTTGTATCTAAAAGGGACTACCGATATGAGATTATTTTATGGCAATGATTGTAGTCCCGATCTTGTTGGTTATGCTGATACTGGATATTTATATGACCCACACAAGGCTCGATCTCAAACAGGCTATGTGTTTACATATGGAGGCACTGCCATATCTTGGCGATCGACTAAGCAATCAATCGTGGCTACTTCATCTAATCATGCTGAGATAATTGCTATTCATGAAGCAAGTCGAGAATGTATATGGCTGAGGTCTATAATACACCTTATTCGAGACAAATGTGGTTTGAAGTGTGACAAACTACCCACAATTTTGTATGAAGACAATACAACATGCGTAGCCCAATTGAAGGGGAGATTTATAAAGGGGATAGGACAAAACAAATTTCACCAAAGTTATTTTTCACACATGATCTTCAAAAGAATGGTGATATCAATGTGCAACAGATCCGTTCAAGTGATAATATGGCTAATCTGTTCATCAAATCTCTACCGACGTCAACCTTCAAGAAACTAGTGAACAAGATTGGGATGCGAAGGCTCAAGGATGTGAATTGATGCTCTTATCAGGGGGAGTTAATACGCGTTGTACTCTTTTCCCCTTACAAGGTTTTGTCCCACTAGGTTTTCCTTGCAAGGTTTTTAACGAGGCAACCAAAAGGCGGATTTCTAAATATGTGTACTCTTTTTCCTTCACTAGAATTTTTTTCCCATAGGATTTTTTCCTAATAAGGTTTTAACGAGACACATTATCTATGGACATCCAAGGGGGAGTGTTATAAGAAAAATCAAATTATGGTGGATGTCTACTCTTCCTCTATGATCTTCTCAAATACTTAATGACATATTCAATGACATATTTTTCTTCACTTTTCATGCTTATATAAAGGTCTTGTAATAGATAAAAAAAAATTCACACATTTGAAGAAGAAAATCTCTTCCTTCTCTCTATCTTCATTTCTTGTTCATGTTTTACTAAATTACTTTTATTTCATAACAACATGTCTTGTTCACGTTTTACTAAGTTACTTTTATTTTATAACACTATATATATTATTAGTGCAGCAGTATATATTGTTTTGAGACAGTATATTTCCCTTTCTCACGCTATTCGTATCATAGGTATGAACAATTGTATCTTTATATGAATTCACGTGCGCTCTTCAATGAGCATTTTGTCGGTCAATTTTACTTTTTGCCCAAATCCAAAAACAAATTAAAAAGAAAAGCCTTTTGAGTTTTGCCCTTTAATTTAATTATCGTCCTACTAGTTAAAAATTGATTGGACAAAGCCATCTTTTAAATTAACCCTCACTCAGGTCCCCTTTTCTTCCATTCTTCAACTCAACCAAATTCCACATTTCCTCTCTCTCTCTCTCTCTCTCTCTCTCTCTCTCTAATGGAGTTAGCTTTGAGCTTAGGAGGGGATACCCAAAAACCATTTTCTTTTCTTGAAAAATCTACTAATAATTCTTCGTCACATGAGGAGCTGCTAACGGGTAGCAATAAAGATATAAGATTCTGCATGGGTTTAGGAAAGAGCAATCCAAATAGTAAGTTCTTTTCACACCCCACCCTCTTCTTCTCCTTCACCCTATTGACTATTGTCTTGTGATTTGTTTCTCTTTTTCTTTTCTGTAATTTTTTATATATAATTTGTGTTGATAATCTTGACGATCCTTATCTGAAAAAATAGTATTTTGTTTCAGTAGCAGCTGAACCGGGTTTAACAAATGGACCGGAAAGAATGGTGTTGGACATGAACCGGCGGCCAATAATACTGGCAGAGGAGGCGGAAGAAGGGACGGACCTCTCATCTCCGAACAGCAACAGCGCAGTATCAAGTTTTCAGATGGAATTTTCATCAATATACAGAAGTGGAATTAGCAGATCATTAATAGGAAAGAGAGATCATTTTGAAGCAGGAAATACAGAAAGAGGAGTTAGTGATGAAGATGAAAATAATGGTTTAGCTAGAAAAAAACTGAGACTTACCAAAGAGCAATCTGCTTTTCTTGAAGAAAGTTTCAAAGAGCATAACACTCTCAACCCTGTAAGTCAATCAAACCTTTTGTTGGCTTTGGCTTGGTCAAAAAGGAAAGAAATCTTTTTGAGCTAAACCCTTAACAACCAAGCTGATCGAGAGATTAATTGTTTCGTCTTATCTTCCAAGTATATCAATAAAATATTTGGTAAAAAGTTAATAATATTTGTGTGAGTATAAGACTTTTGAAATTATGGTATTAAATATTTCATATTGTGTGCCTATAAAAACTTTGATAAGATGAATAGTTTAGATTAAATTATTTCTAAATTTCAAAAAATTGATATTCTTTTTTAAATGTACTAACAAAATATATTATAAATTGGAACTTACATTAGCAAAACATTGATGTTTGATGTTATTACTCTCTCCTCAATTTATATGGCACTATTACTATGTGGAGAATCAGAGGTATTCTTTTTACCACAATTTTCTTAAATATTTGTTAAAGAAATTTAAATTAGTAATATTATCACTTATAGTAATATATTTATGTAGTCATTAAATATGGAAATAAAGGAATATTATTTTCACCGGAGTATTTATTTAGTTTTTTAGTACTTATGTATTTCTTTTTCCTAATCTATGGAAGTATCCAGTACTGATTTTGTTCTCAATAGGAAAAGAATTTTAACATTTTGCAGAAACAGAAGCTTGCTCTGGCAAAGCAGTTAAACCTTCGGCCTAGACAAGTAGAAGTTTGGTTCCAAAACAGAAGAGCAAGGTAAGCATTTAATTTCATACTATCCAATAAAAAAGTAAAATTTTCTTGTTAATATTAGAAGTAAATTGTACTATTAGTAATTACTATATTATTAATTGGTGCATTTATATAAATTCAACAATGGCAGGACGAAATTGAAGCAGACAGAACTAGATTGTGAATATTTAAAAAGGTGTTGTGAGAAACTGACAGAAGAGAATAGGAGGCTGCAAAAAGAGCTTCAAGAATTAAGAGCTTTGAAATCTTCCCAACCTTTCTACATGCAACTTCCTGCCACCACTCTCACTATGTGTCCGTCTTGTGAGCGCGTCGCCACCACCGCCGCCACGGCCGTCCCTACAGCCGCTGCTGCTACCACTACCTCTGCCACGGCCACGGCCAATGCCGCCGCCACAAACACGACGCTTTCTTTGGCAAAGCCCAATCTCTTCCCATTTCCACCTGCACAAATTCATCCTCCGCAGGCTGCTTCATAAGTTTGCAAGTTTAGTGACCTATAGTTAGTTTTGTACATAGTTCGGATTTTGACATAGGTGATTCTTGGTTGTGATTTGCCACTAATGATTCTTTTTTACTTTCTTTAATTAATTATACTCTACTGTTTATGGTGAGCTTTGAACTAAGGATGAAGTTTGAGAAAGTGTAGTTTGACTAGGAATTTAGATGATAAGAAAAAAGACTGTTGTATTGCTTGATATAATTTTTTGGAGAAGTTGTTGGAAAAAGAAGTTACATTTGCATTAGTATTTTTTCCATATTTTTAATTAGTCCAAACCGCTATGTGCGCCATTTTCTTGCAAAGATATAGTAATTTGTGATGATTCTTTTGGGACATGATCTACTATAGGTACTGTTTAAAAGTTGAATTAAATTACTAATATCTTTAGTTGTAGGATTTATTGAGCATTTTATTTTACAGTGTCAAACAGGTGCAACATTACTGCTGAAATAAAGGACGTGTTAAAAGGCATTTCACAGAGATGTTAAAATCACATCTGCTTCGCTTTGTTTACTCAAAATCAATATAGTATATCAGAAAATCAAATGACTGTTTGATCATATAAATCTGAAAAACCAATGAAGATAAACATGATCTGAATTACTTATTTTCTCAAGTAGTTGATAGATGTTAGCTCTTTCAACGATCTATTTCGTTAGTGATCAATAATCGGGAACACATACTATATAGATATTTAAAGTTCATGTTTATTATAGGAAAACAAATTAGATTTATCAAAAACCATATTAATACTTTCTTCTTGAAAGAAAATGTTTTCCGTATAATAAATGTCATAGCAAGGAGAATAATATGAAGGTATTTATATTTACGATTACTTCACAAGTTACGGATGATCAACATAAATGTATGAAATTGTTTGGAAAACAAATTATATTTTTATAAATCTATGTTTGTCGCTGTAAATCTTGAAAAGAAATTACTTTGCACAATAAATGTCATAGCATGGAGAATAGGGATTCTAAAAGGTACAAGATACGGTTTCTCAGAGATTAGAAAATTCAGGAGAGTTTTGCATCTATTCAATTAATATTAGGGTACCTATATTTATTATTATTACTCCCTCCGTTCACTTTTACTTGGCACGTTTTGATTTTTCACGCCCCTTAAGAAATAATAAATGAAGTGCATAATTTACCATGATATCCATATTAATTGATACATATTTTATTGGATTTGAGAAAATGATTTGAAATGAGTAATAAATACTGTGGGTATAACAGTAAAAAAAAAATTGTCTTCAAAATCTATTTTTATTATACATGCCAAGTAAAAGTCAAAGGAGGGAGTAATTCACAAGTTATGGCTGAAGTTCAACATAAATGCAAGTTCAAATTTATTCCTAGACTGAAATCATTGAACGGTGGATGAGCACTAATAACTCCTTTTTCTGTCCAGTCTCCCCACATAAAATTAAAGAAAAAAAGAAAAATTGTTAATAAAAAACTTACACGATTTAGAATTAATGAGTTTAGAATGAGTGCGATTTTATAATGTTTCTGTATCAATTTTTTCATATGTATACATGATTTGAGTCGCACACAATAATTTCAGTTGGACTACTAGAACCCACCCTAGATTCTAACTCTGATAGTGGGTGTTTGTTAGCATCCGTAGTTTACAATAATGTTTGAGCTAATGATTTATGGTAATATCTTCACGGTTAGGATATCGAATGAATCAAAAACCCTATTTAATTTCATACAAGAAATTTTGGTGGGTTGCCTTCGATTACCTAATTTATTAATACTCTCAACCTGTGTTAAAATATTTCATTTTTCCAATTTGGTTCCCTCAGTCAAAGTCAGGTGCTTGGTAGGGGAGTTTCATGATTAGAAGTCAATGTATATAAGAAAATTTTGTTACATTATGGAAGCAAAATATAAAATTCAAAATCATTTGAAGACTAAAATCACTTCACAAAGGCTTACATTTTCTATTTTTCTTGATAATGATGTCTTACACAAAAAAAAAAAAAAAAAGAACACCTGTTTCTCTTCTGTTGACATTCAAAATAAATTATAATTGTTCTATAAAAAAAACTAAAAAGAAAAACTTGAGCTTGTCAATGTTCTATGGTTTCTTGTCATGTTTACGTTAGAGAAAAACATGGAAGTTGTCAAATGCTAGGACGACATATATTGGTCGTCTTCGTAGGACGTATGCAATTTTTAGTGTACTCTAATTATTAATCAATTTGTGGAGAATTTTTTTAATGACAAAAACAAAGCATGCCAAAGCTGATGTAGTGCTTTTTTGAAATGATCTTAGCTTTATCCAATTGGGGTGGCAATATTATGACTTGTGGAGGAAGAAATCATAATTTTCATGCCTATAAATTGACATTTATATTTCAAAATTTAAGCTATCATTTTGTCAAATTATTTTTCGATTGTAAAAAATAGCAAACTTGCCGCCTTGAATGATATCACAACCAATCATTTGAAGTATAGTGGATAATTTTGTTGATACTCTCGTTGTCCTAAAAGTACTTGTTCTACATTTTCTTTTCTTTTTTTAAGTTTATTTCAATAGTTTGTCCATTTCCCTTGTTTGAAAAGCTTGGATATGCTTATTAACATGCCACCAAAGGCTCAAAATCATGCTTCTACTTTCTCTGAATACAATTCTATTTAATTTTCTATTTTTTCTACATGAGATCGAATACTGGGTTGTTGCATTTCACTGATATAGATATTACATAATTCTCCCATCAATATTTCTTTAGTCTTTTCAACAATAAATAGTTTAAATGATTTAGTTGTTTCTAAGCACTTGTTAATAGTAGTTGTTTTTCAATACATTTTAACTTTATCTTAGTAATTAATCTTATTAAATCGTATGCCGATATATAGCCAATAAAGTGTACAGAGAGGGTAACTTATTATGTATCTCCAGATTATGGGCTTTCTATGAGCTATTTTTTTAATTACTAAGAACTAGAGGAACTTTAGTATAACTGCTTGGCTATCGATCTGATCACCTTATTTTGTACCTTGTAATTCCCACATTTCCTCCCTTATGTATATTTTTAAAATTCGAAAAAATACTAAGAATAACTTAATAATTTTCTTCAGCAGAGCTTCGACAATATACTATTACTAGCCATGGAAGAAAAAAAAACTCATAAACTTAGGGTGTGTTTGGTATGAAAGGAAAACATTTTCCAGAGAAAACATTTTCCAACATACCAAACACACCCTTAGTCTTATTTATTTTCCTTTTCGAAGTCCTTTTCAATTTAAGTTTTCTTGTGATTGCAAGTCATCATATTATCAGAAAGTAAAATGGAAGCTTATCTCAAAAGAGAAATTTCACTAATTTTATTCTTTTTTATAAAAAAAAAAAAATAGTATAATTTGTAGGTCGAACGAATATCTCTCTTGGTGTAAGAATATTTAGTACTCTTTCCATTTCAATTTAGATAAGGTTGTTTGACTCGGCACAAAGTTTAAGAAAAAAAGAAGATTTTTAAAAATTGCGGTCTTAAAAGCTTAAGGGGTAAAAGTTTTGTAGGACCATGACATTTGTGTTGTTATAAAAGCTTCTCATTAAGGGTAAAATGAGTAAAATGAAGCGTTTAAAATGGAATTATTTTCAAATTTAGAAATATGTCATTTACTCCCCCCGTTCACTTTTATTTGACATATATACTAAAAATGGATTTTCATTTTTACTTGTCACTTTACGCATATCAAGAGAAGATTAAAAAAAAATTCCTGTTATACTCACAGTATTTATTACTCATTTCAAATAATTTTCTCAAATCCAATAAAATATGCATCAATTAATATGGGTATCATGATAAATTATGCACTTCATTTATTATTTCTTTTGGGCGTGAAAAGTCAAAACGTGCCAAGTAAAAATGAACGGAAGAAATATTTTGAAACAGACTAAAAATAAAAGTATCTCGTTTAATTTGAAACAGATGGAATAGAAATTAAACTTTGCCTCCCCAATAATGGTAAGGGCTTTTTTCTTAGAATATAAGTCATAAAGGCATAATTGTCTTTCCAGTGGCCAAAAGCCAGACATGTTTTTGAGTGAAAGTCTCAAAGCTTGAAGAGTTGAGAGCTAATATTGGGGAGGAAAGAGATTTAAGAGCTGATAAAATCAAGAGCTACCTACGGTTCAGTCTAATCCGACGGTTTAACCTAAGGAAGCTGTTGTGTATTTGTCCTTTGAAAAGTTAGAAGTACTTGTTTTTAGAAAGCTAGAAGTGTTTTGACAAGCTTTTAGAAAGTCAAAAATACTTTTTAAAAAGTCAAATGCATATACAAAACCTTAAATCGTCACACTTTTTCATTTAAACATTTTAACTAAGACTTGTTCCTACTGAAAACAACATGATCAAAAGTGCACCTATTAAACACCCGAGAACCTATCAAAAAAATAAGGTGCATGTGTTACACAAGCCGAGGATATGGCAAAATGACTAACGGAGTGCAGACATATGGCATTATTTTTCAAAAATATTTTTTCAAAAGTACTTTTTACATAAGTTACTTTTCAAAATAAGCTGATTCTAAATTTTGGTGAAAACGTCTATTAACACATTGATTGTGTAATTCTTTTTAGAACAGTTGATCTAGTTTAATCATTATAACAGCTTATTTGCTTTATGAATCCGATAACCAACGCACAATCACTCTATACAGTTACTGTATTGCCTATTGACTATAAATCACCGATTTAAGCCTAATTCTGATGGTTACGTCAAAGACCTAATGACATTTTAGGCACAAAATTAATTTCCACTGACATTTTGTAAAGTTCTTAAATATCGTAATGGTTATATCGCACTACCTTAAGAGGCATAATATGCCTTTCTTTGCATGTGCCAAAATATTGTTCATTTTTATATCGGTTTGCGTGTATTTCTCGTGGCTAATAGGGACAACTTTTATGTAGTTTATAATTCATCAAACAAGACTTGGAGGCACCTGATTTCAACGTCCTAGGATTTGAAGTGTGTGTGTTCTAAATTTTAAAATAAAATACTGTTTTTAACAGGAATTGAACCCCCATCTTTTTCAACGAACCCACAACCCTTACCGTTGAACCAAAACCCCTTTTGTTACTAGGTTCGGTAGTGTATACATATATAGATTTAGTAAATATTTCAATACAAATACAGGGTTCCGAAAAAAGTTACTGGGTTCGCTCGAACCCGCACCCACTACTGTAGCTCCGCCCCTGCTTACAAGGAGGT